AACAAAAAGCATATTGATCTTTCTAATTCAACTGCAATGAGAGCGGGAGCAAAGGAAGTAAGACATGAGAAGCATGCGAGGTGCAATCTGCATCTGGTTGCGTGATGGAACAAGGGTTGGACAAGGGAGCAAGAAAGAAAGAAAGAGATAGGGAGGAACGTGAAGGGGGGTTAGGCGTTGGTGACTTTGCCCGAGCACTCAGTCTCTAGCTAGAACCATCAATTGTCATCCACATTGTAGGAGTAGCAGATGGGCATTTGTTTTTCTTTTTGTTTTTGTTCTTTTTTTTTCTCTTTCTTTTAGGGGCAATTTGCTGGCTCTCCATCCTGTCCATCGTTTTTTTTTTTGAACCTGTGATTCTTGTTTAGGGGCTTACTGTAGCGCGTGACCCGGCGGTGAGGGGTCAGGCGGGTGTTAACAGGTGGAGAAGCAGAGAAAATTCCCTTTTTTCTTTCCCCCCCCCCCCCCCCTCCTCAGGATGTTTGCCCCCGTCAATATCAATCTCTCTACACATACATGCCTTGTGATAAGCACACCGGACATTCCGTCTGATGTATTCCTTTGGTGTCTCTCGTGTGAGAATCACCACTCCTGGTGCATGTGGATGTGTCCTTCTTGCCTCTGAGGGCGACCATAATGTTGTGTGTGTGTGTGTTCTTCCTTCTTTTTTTTTTTATCCTTTTCCTTTGCCCAACAACGCTCTGTTCATGAGATCAGTTTATTTTGAAAAGCAGTGGAGACCCCACGAAGAAAAGAATAGGAAAGGAGGAGGCATGCAGGTCCCTAGTCGACGTCGTAGCCGCGATGAGGGAAATGATGAAGAATTTGATAGGCAGAAAGATCGCAAGCAGCGAAGGCGCAGCGAGCGCCAGGCGCGGAAAAAGGCGCGCATTGAGGCCCATGAACAATGGGTGGAGCAGCGGCGTAGTATGAAACAAAATGCCTATGAAGAACGAGAAGAGAAGCAACACGACCGAAAAAGAGCACAACTAAACCGGTTGCCATCAACCAACGCGTCTGCAGCTTTACCCCGCAGGGTCAAGGCAGTGGCAAGGAGCACGAAGATAACCAACAACCATAGTGGGGCTATTGGTTCTCTGGACGATGAAAACACTTGTTCATCCTCCAAAACCCCTGCCTCATCGAAGGAACACGTACCGCTGTACGAAGAGGAGCAGCCGTCAATGATGCTCGCAGGTGCGACACTGTCAACAAGAGCAGCAGATACTTCCACGATTGTTATTAGTGATAGCGCTATGGAACCCACGTTGGCGAAATATACTCCACCGACACTCCGACGTAAGTTGACAGAAGAGACAATCACTGGGCTGGATGAACGTACACGACGAATTGTCAACAAACTTACTGTGCGCAATGTGGTAGAGCTGACAAGGGAGACTTCAGATCTTTTTGGTGGTGCTGTCGAGGGGGCCACACGAGCGTCGGTGTTACATAGCCTTTTACAGCACATTAACCGCATGTGCATGTTGGATACAGGACCCTTGACACCGATTGTAAGTTTGCCGCTTGCGGGTCTTATTCGTGGCCTCCAGCTGTTACATGGCAATGTGGTGGGAGCCGAGTTGATTGAGGGCCTCTGTTTAGCACTTCAGGAACGCCTTAACGACAATAGCGAGACAAGTGCATCAAATGGTGCTATGGTTTTCGCTCATCTTTATCTTCTGAATGCGGTGGATTCGTTGCTTGCGTCCAGCTTTTTGTGTTCTACACTACGAATTGAAGGCCAAAGGGGCGTCTGTGCCGTGGCGTGCGCGCTGACGTTTCTTCGCGCGTGTGGTGAGAAACTACTTAAGGAGGCACCTGGCCAAATGGAACAGGCGTTGACAGAGGCAAGGGCATCCTACAAGAGTCAAGAGCAGTCTAGTGTTCGGCACAGTACTCTTCTCAGTTACATTGCAGATATTCTGACGGGACACACACGGAGTGCCAAGCGCACCGTAGATGAGGAAAAGGCTCCTGTTGAGTCGTTGCTTAGGGATATGGCTACCTTGTTGCCAGGAGGTGGAGTGTCCGGCAGCAAACGTGTTTTTCATCGCGTCATGAGTACAACTAGCGTGTTAACGGGACTCACCTGGGCGCAGATGATGCGCAGTGATAAACCCCCTCGTTGGTTTACCGCTGCGGCGTGGGAAAGTGTTGATGGTGATGTCAGTGACAACTTCAAAATGCTTCCAAGGACCAGTACGGAGGCACTCTCATCTACCACTTCCGAGGGTAAAAGCACGGATGACGAGGAGGATGAAGCGGAGCTGAAAGCTGAGCGTATTCGACAACTGCGTCAACAGGAGAAGGCTATATCGGGGCAACGTTTTAACACTGAGAACAAGCGCGAAGTGTTTCAAGTTTGTGCAAATTCCTCGGATGATTTAGAGGGTTTTACGCTGCTTATGCACCGTGACCCTTCGTTTAGCCGGCTGCATGACACACTGGCTGTTCTGCTGCAATGCGCCTATCAAGAGAAGGTGTATAATCCGTATTACGCACAAGTTATTCAACGATTTTGCAGTGCAAAGGAATCGTGTAAAAATACACTTCAGTTCGCCTTGTGGGATATGTTTAAGGCGATTCGTGTGGAGTCTGTCGATATCATAGGATACGTTAATCTTTCCTGCCTACTCACCCACCTCATTGAGGTGGGTGTATTTACTCTGGCTGTCTTGCGAGGACTGGACTTGGACGGCACGAACCGGACGATTGGGTTATTTACTCGTGTTCTTCTCCTTCGATTAATTTTACAGTTACCTCCTGTAAGGCTTGCAGAGGTATTTTTTGGCGGTGATGGGTTTCGTGCACATGACGTGAAGATTGATACTCGTGTCTTGAGATCCAACCTGGCCGAGATTGTGGAGCGCTACTTTGTCGACGAGCGAGAGTCCGGGAAATGGATTCCGCATTTTTACGACGTGGTTGCTAGAGGCACTTCCTTCGATGTGCAGCGACAAGACCGTCACAAGGTTGGCGGCAATGGTGAAAGGGCAGTGGATGATGAGGCGCAGCTGCAGTTGTTTATAAAACGGATTCATGTTGTGTTCAAGGCGTTGAAACGTGGCATTTCTTGAGGGGTGGAGGTAATTCTACGAACCGCAAAGAGTAACTCGACAGTTAAAATGCTGGTGATGATAGTACTAATAATGAGATAACAAAACGGAGAAAATGGTGATTTCTTTATTTATGTTTCATTTTTTTTTGTTTCTTTGTTTTCCCCTCCATTCCTCATTTATCACACATATGTTTAATGCATAACGTGACTGCAGGTTGCGTTCACGGCTAGTGTGTCTCCGTGTGCATGCCTGGATCTGCTGCGTCTCATTCTTCCTTTCAAATTTCTTGTTGCTCTTTACCCTCACCAAACAGTGGCGGTGAGAAGTTTCTGTCACGACTACTGCTTTCGCTGGGGGGGGGTATTCCCTTTGTTTTTTTTTTTTTTTTGTTGTGTGTGTCTTTTGTGTTGTTTCAGGGGCGAGGTGAAGGGGCAGGGGGCAAAGGGTAGACGAGAGGCGTTCATGTCAAATGCCGAGCGGAAGCGGCCACTCCCACGTGCCTTTGCTGAGTTGAGTGCCCACTTTTTGCCAGCCCGAGGCGACATCCTCACGAGCGCAACTATCACAGTGGAATTTGCTCCCGTGAACGCGTCGGGCTGCACAGATGGCGGAATTGCAAAAGATGGTGACACGGGCATCTACGGCGCCGCCCTACTAGTGACATTGTCTCATCTACACGAAATTAGAGAAGTTCGTGTGTGGCTTGAAAGGAAGGGAGGAGTCATTGGCGACAGTGTGGTGGGGGAGTGGCGTCAGCTTCAGCTGAATGCTTCAACGCTGTATGAAGCAAAACGACGTGCGGTGCGCTATGCCGATTCAAGGATGCAATCATCATCTTCGTCAAAGCCACCCACCATGGAGCTTACAAGTCTAGTCGCCACCGAACAAAAAATAACCTGCCTGATGGTGGAAGAAGAAAACGGGGATGATGAAGGTGATGGGGTTCTTGAACTTGTGTTTGGGTCTAGCGACGACGAGAATAACAATAGCCGTTGTAGTGATGATAATAATGACGATGCCGGTAGTGGTGAAGTTAAGGAACATCGTAAAAGTATCGCAGAAGCGGAGACTACATGCGTTGTGCCGGAAGAAGAAGGCTGCGACAGCAACAACGACGAAGACGACAGCATAGGCACACATTTTATTCTTAAACTATGGCCCTGTGCTGCCGATGGAACAAGTGCAACCGATGAAGTCGGATGGTTCATGTCGCGCTGTTGCATTGAGGTTGGCCTGCTGCCTCCATCACGGCTGGCAAGCCTTGCCTATCCTCGTCTGACAGTATCCTCACTTGTGAAAAAAACGCACCCGGAGCATCAGGCAGAGTATGAGTTTGACAACGAAAGTTATCTGTTGTTGGTGGGGCAGCGTTTTTACGATTACTTCCTTTGTCCCCGCGTGGCGTACGCGGAGGGTGAACCAGGTGCCGCAAGATTTACAGCCGTGGACGTCTTTGTCACGGTGGTGCGTCCCTTCCAAGATGCGCTAGCCACTTCCTGGGAAATATTGTACATGCGTTCCTTTCCATGTCTTCCAGAAGATTTGATATGTGCATTTGTGAAGCCACAAAAGAGGAATGACACTGGTCTTATCACTGAGGAAAAACATGCAGGGGTTCGCTGGTGCGTGCGACATCACCCTGCATATACATTTTTGTCGTGTAGCGATGAAGATGATGTGTGCGGTGGAAAGTGTATTTATTTTTTTCACTGTGATCACGTCTTGTGTAATTGCCTTATTCCGTTGCTACGTCAGGCTGAAGCTGCCTGGGAGGAAACAGGTTCGAGTGCAGCAGTATGCGTAGGTGCCAAACTCCGCTGCAGTGCATCCACCTGGGTGGTGACTGGCTGCAGTAACACGCTATTGAGCCTTCGACGTGGTACGTTGTGTACACGGGGGGCGGTGGTGCTGGTGGCAGATTTGTTGCGAACCATACGACAACCCATCACCTCGCTGACGTCACCATTTCAGGTGAATGCTCTGCGGGCAAAAACATCGGTGCTGAGTTCTGCCTTGGAAGTGTTGTGGCGAATTTTTGCTGGGAACGGCGTTGTACCCGAGTTTTCGGTCAACTCATCAAGCCCCGCTCTCACTCGTGGATGGGCCCTCTGTCTGCTCTGCGACGAGTGTGGTTGGACGGAGTTGCTGTCTCAGGAACGCCGGATCGTCTCAGTTACGAGCTCTACACAGTCTCACGGAAGCTCATGGTGGTTACCTCAGCGCTATGCTCAAGAGACGTATGAATCACTTATTTTCTTGTCTTCCGCCTTTGTGATAGCTTCCCTTCGCCACAAATGTCACTATCCATGGCAGCTTCTTGAGAAGAGAAACAGCGATGCGTTTCCAATGGAGATACCGAACGATTTGAATACTACAGTTTCTAGTGGGATGCATCTTTCTCTGGTGCAGAAACTTTTGCTACAACAGCAGCAAAGTGGAGTAGGGAGTGGATATGCTGCTTTTCTGCCTTCTGTATTCCATGCCTTACTTTACTATGAGGAGGATCAAAAGCATGATGCGTGTCGAGATGTGAAGCTTCGCTTGAAGTGTGCAAATAAAAACTTTACACATTGCCTGCAGACAGGCGGCATTCGATTTTCGAACCTCATGTGGAGCATTGACGTTCCCTTCACTGTAGTGTACTTTGCTATATATGTGCCAACGGGGTCTCAGGTGGCACAAGCTGAAGCGCGCATTGAGAAACGACTTCAATGCCGTGTCGCACACGTGCTCCACTGCAGCTGGAGAGTCTCTGGTCTGACGTGGGCAAAAGGATTGGATCAACACACATCCTTCTCCCTCTTGGAGGTGGAAGCAGATGGCGACGGCAAGGATGCTCTGACAAAGAAGGCAAAATCCAAAGAAGAAGAAATAAAAGAGAATACCGAGTTATTTTCCATGGAAATCCCTCTTTTGGTGCTCAACCCCAAAGTTGTTCCTGCCGCACTCTCTATTTGTGTCAAACACGACTGGTTTTGGTCAAAATTCTCCTCGTTTCTTGAGGCATTGGCACTTCGGGTCTTGCTGCAGCACATTATAGAAGATGCTGTGGGTGAGGGGGTGAACCATGTCGAGGAGGCGGATCTTGTGTTTACGCCGCTGATGAACCAACTACTGGAGGACATTTTAGAGAATCGTTGCCATCTATCGTTTAAAGCTGATGAAACGTCACCGGCGGCCCTTTTTGTAAGGGCATTGCAGAGTGTGGATGTTGACGCTACGGCAGTTTACGTTCGGATTTATCCCAGTTTGCGCAGACGATTTGTGCAGCTTGTATCAAGGTTTAAGTTGACTGCTCCAGTTGTTGTGAGCTCCGCAGGGAAGCGGGAACGGGATGACGATGAAGGATCCCTACTGCGTGAGGGTGTGGACAATGTGAGGGCGAGAATGTTGGCGTATCTTCGGAGAGTTGAGGCGTATGCCGCATCGTTGCCGCGCACAAAGCCAAGATGGCAACAGCGACAGGAACCCCAAGACGGAAACGAACAACAACAAGCGCCGCAGCGACCGCGACTGTTATTGAGTCTGAGAAGGCGACCATTCCTCCACCAGGGGCAGGGGCAGGAGCAGGAGCAGGAAGTGGTGAAGCAGGCGAAGAAGACAAAGATGGTGTCGGTTTATAATCCTGGTGATGTTGCAAGTATGATTGGACGTGTTCTTACTAAAGGTACTGAAGCCGGCGTGGTGGATAACGCTCTCCTTGCAGCACGCTCAGCAGCGTTGTCGCTGGTGATGCCTTTGTGGTTGCTGTTACACAACCGGCCTGGTATGTCTGAGGCGCAGAAGGTGGCATTATTTGACGGAGCGGAATACATTTACGAATCCCTTCGAGGCTACCCCATTTCCACTGACTTGGACGCCGTCATGTCGAAAGGGTACGAGTCTCTTGTACACAAGGCGGAGTCGCCAATGGGTCAGAAGAAGGGTCAGGACACTTCCTAAATCTTTTTTACCCAGCGCGGCGTTTGCGTGATATTCTTTACGCTTCAGCGTGGTGTATTTATTTACTTTTTCTTCCACTCTCTCTTTCTTTCTGCTGGGGCTCTTGAGCGTGGGCACTGAGAGGGGCAAAGAGGCTGGGGGTGGGGGGAAGCCGCCTATGCATACAGCAGCGCAAACATATTACTTCCACCTCAACCAAACACACACGTCGGGGGGGGGGGGGGGGGAGTTGAGGAATACGTCTGTGTTAGTGCAAGAAATTGTTTGCTGGGTGAAATCTTATCTCAAGATGGACTGTTGTAGTTGTGTGAGTCACTCTCCTCGTGAGCGCTGCGGTGTTGTTGTCTGATTTCTCGTTAAAACATGAGAATCTGGACATAACTCTCTTTTCAGTGGCGATTTATCCTCCATTCCCCCTTTATTTTATTATTATTAGTTTCCTTTGTGTCGCTTGTTGTTATTGTCATTCCCACCCTTACTACGGATGAATGCGTGCGTGCCTGGACGTACGTGTAAGCGAGCGCCGGGGTGAGCTGCGGCGAGGTTGGACAGTGGGTTATTGCGAGGTAGGTCATCTTATTTGCTCTCTCTGGGTGTTCTGACACGTGGATAATTTCATACCTACCCATATAGGAGTAGGGAGAGGGATAACAGGTCTCTGGGCGTGGGAGGATAGGCACTGCAAATGAGTCAGTTTACACATGACACAGACAACAGTGCTCCTAAACGTCATCAGCATCACGAACCCGTCCTGGAGTACACCTCAAATGATGAAGTTGCGGTTATTTCTGTCAATGGGTGCAAGTACCGTCGCAGTGTCTGTGTTATCATAATGAATGATAAAGGGTTGTTTTTGGGGTGCCGGCGTTGCGATAATAAACGAGTTCTGCAGTTTGTTCAGGGAGGTGCACGGCGGCATGAGAGTCCTCAGCAGACTGCAGAGCGAGAGCTGTTTGAGGAGATTGGACTCCCCGCAACATATCTTCGCTACGCTGGGGAAATTTTGCCTGTCACGAGCGGAGACGAGGTCCGGGCTGCTTTTCGCTACACATCCAAATCGTGGTGGAAAAGGGGCTTCACGGGACAAGAGCTGTACCCGCTTCTTTACCTCGCAGAGACTGAGGTGATTGATAAATTGCACTTCAGGGCCATTCCAGGGGTGCGACAAGAGTTCTGCGGGGCCATGTGGATGAAGCTTGAGGAGTTTGTGCGGTACTGCCAGCCTTGTAAGGCAACCGCGGTGTCAAACATATGCACAGCAGTGGTATCGTTTGCGCATTTAGGTTTCACCAATGCAGCTGGGTCGTCTCTCTCTGAAGTGGACGCCCCACAAGGAGAAAATGTTAGAGATAAGGAGACCACGCCTATCAAAAAAAGACACTGGCAGCGGTTGCAGACCCAACAATAAGAGAAAAGGATTGAAGTCGAATCAAAGAACCAAACGAATTGGTAAGATTCCCTCCACGCCGCAAGAGTCACGCGAATGTTTGTGAAGAAAAATAAAAAGTCAGTCGACGAAATAAAAGTAAAAACGAAAATTAGCAGGTACTAATAATCAAAATGTTAATATGTGCATTTTATATTACTTTTTGTTCTCATTATTGGCCTGTTGGCGTATGCAACGCCCTTCTGTTATATATATGATTGCCCTGAATGTTGCAAGCTTATTGCTTTGTTCTTTGGTTCCCTCCACGTGTGTGTGCGTGTTTTTTTTTGTATCTCCTCATTTCGCCGTCTTTTGCGAGCAATCGATTGAGAGGGGGCACCGGCTGCGGCATTATTGTCCGTCGTTGGCTGTCAGCTGGGTTGCCGACATGTATAGAGTCTACGCGTCACCGCAGCGACTTCTTTGCGGATGTAACTTGACGCTTTTGCGTCGCTTTAATCTGTCGCTGCTCGCCCCCTTGCGGCTTTTCATGATGGTTGTGTACTTTACCGCGCTTGTATGCGCGGCGGACGGAAGCGATGCGATGATACGCGACGGTTCATTGGCTCGCGGCTACACAGATAGCGACTACAGATTTCTTCGCCGCACAACGGATGGTTGCCTTGCCGGAAGCTTTATTTGTCTCTTTTTCAACTGTTGGGGTGTGGTGACGGCTCGTACACTGCGTTCGGGGTTGATGAACATTATACATAGCTGCTGTCACGCTACCGCAGCTGTGCTATTGATCACCGCGTGGCACCAGGGAGCGGGAGCCGAGCATATCTGGCACATCTTCTACATCTTCGGCATCATTCCAACAGGGTTAGAGGTTGCCGCCTTGGTTGAATCCTACTGCCGCGGCATGGACAACTTCTTCTAGAGAGTTAGCTGGACGAGGGTCTCTCAATTGTGGTGGCGCCCTTCGTTGACTCCACGGAGAAACATACACACACACAAAGTTGCGTTTACATAATATATGGAGTAGTTGGTTTTTGCCTTGTCCATGACACAAAGCGCAACACTGAATTCTACACTTTTTTACATGAATCCTTCTGGAGAGGAAGGGCAGTGTAATTTCCTTTTCCTCTGCTCTCACCTTGTTGACAAGGATCCACGTAGACACTGTAGAGGCCTCACTTCAGCCAAAAACGCGGCGCATAGGCTTCATTTTATTGCTGCTGCATCAAAGCACATGCAATCGTGATCCCCACGGTTCTCTATTGCTGCTGCGGGGGTTATCAAGGCTGTGCGAGACGGTGCTGCACGAGGGCGGGCTGCTTTTCCCTATGGATGTGCTTGATGAGAAACCGATACTTTCTGAGTGTTCCTTGACTCCTCATGGAGGGTGACATCCGCTGTAAATCGACGAGAACCCTTTAACTCTGATTTCCACTTCCTTATTGTTTCCCCTTGTTTATGTGTGATTTTTCGCTTTATTGCTGCTGCATCAAAGCACATGCAATCGTGATCCCCACGGTTCTCTATTGCTGCTGCGGGGGTTATCAAGGCTGTGCGAGACGGTGCTGCGCGAGGGCGGGCTGATAAACGGCAGCATACATATATTATTATTATTATTTGGTTGTTGGGAGCTGTGTAATTGTGATACCTTTTATTTTGTGTGTGTTTTGTCACTGAGGCTTTTCCTGTTTGTCGTTTCACTTTTCTCGGTGCTCATCTCCTTTTTTGTTCTTGTTTGTGGGAAGAACGAAGTAAAATCGGTGGAGACAAGGTACCACCGAGAGAGAGTGACTCAGTAAAAACGCAAAACCGCAAAAAAAAAAGGGCAACCACATCAAAGCAAAAGTTAGGAGGAAGAGGATAAAGGGAAAAGTAGGGTAACAAAAGCGCATACAAAAGAATAAAAGGGTGAAAAAAAATAATAAAACAGGTGACATTTTGCAATAAAACGAGGAGTTAGAAACGAGGTTCCGCCAGATTTCCCACAGCAAGTGACTGAAAATCAGTGATTGTGTGAAACCAGAAGGTTCACAAGGAGCCTTAAAATTTCCGGCATCTCAAACTCGTCAAGACGTCCTTGATTAGCTTTACAACGTCCAGGCAGTGGACCTCATTATATTCCGAGCACAACCGTGCGAAGAAAATGGTCTGCTCTTGTTATGAACGTGTAGATCCAGAGCTGTTGCGGGTGAAATTAGCACGTACATGGCTAACAGACCGTGCTGTGACCACCGAGCCCCCAGCACTGTACTGCACCTTGTGTGAAAGGCAGGGGGCCTCGCTGTCTACCAAGACGAAAAACAAAGGAAAACTGCAGTGGTTTCCCTTTTCACGCACTTCGAAGGATTGTGCAAGTGCTTTAGGGGGGAATGTCAAGGAGGATCTCTTCATGTGTCTCTCATGCACCATGTGCTTCTGCTCACAACATGTAACATGTCATGAGGCAGAAGAGGCAAAGATTTGTATGGATAGAAGCATCCATCATGGAAGACGTCACTACCTTTTTTTTCTTGTTCCATCGTGTGCAGCGGCGATGAACACTTCTTCCGCGTCAGGCAAAGGTAGGACGGTGTTCCCAGCCTTTCAAGTAGATGACCTTGAACAAATACGAGGGTCTGGTGTCTTGACACTTGAGAAGGAGGCTAATATTGGTTTTCGTCCAATCGGTGATCCACAAGGCTGGGTTTATTATGTATGGTGTGTGCTTTGTAGCGAGAAGCAAGCACCACTTTCCGCCTCTACTTTTTTGGAAACTAGCAAACTCCACGTTCATATCAAGCATCTAGGTGACGTTATTGCAAAACTCCTTTACCTCTTTTATGAAGGAATTCAAATTGAAATTCCTGACGAAGGGGTTGCATTAAGTCAGGGAAACATCCACTCAGGGGACCACTTCTTGTATCAGCACAGTAACAGACAGCTTTGCTTAAATCGTACCGCTATACAAGATATGGATACATTCGCGAGCTTTACTTCTGCTGGTGCATCCTCTTTTGCGTTACGAGGATTACGGGTAGACCCGGATGCCCTTGCGTTAGCACATGTTGCTGGTATTGAGAATCATCGGAACACTTGTTATTTTAACTCGGTACTACAGTGTGTTCTGAAGTGTGGTTTTTTTACGCGCTCACTGCTTGCTATGGATGCCGGAGCGATGCCAGGTCCACTAACTCGTCGTCTATATGCTATGGTTCATCATCTTTGTGAACAGACCGTTAAGGATGTGGAGACACATGCACTGTATCCATATGCACGGGAGGTGTTGCATTGTTTGTGTAAAATTTCTCCACTTTTTGCAGAGGATGATCAACAAGACTCTCAAGAGCTCTTTTTGTGCATGATTAATGGGGTGGCGGATGAGTTGGACAAGGGTAAATCCGAGGAGGAGAAAAAAAAGGGCCCACGATTATCCTTTGAGGGTGTCATGCGCACGGAGGTTGTCTGCTTGCAGTGTAAAAACCACATTCCACGTGAGGAGGTGTTTATGGCCCTCTCTGTTCCCGTTGAGGACTCAATAGAGAAGGGGCTTGAAAAGCTCTTTCGGACAGTGAAACTGCAGGAAAAAGATCAATACGCCTGTGAGAGGTGTTTTCAAATGTTGGAGAAAAAGGATCAAGAACGGCATAACGCAGATATCCAAGCAGAGAATCAACGGAAGGAGAAGTCCAAAAAAAAGGCAGTGGCAGAGGAAAAGCGAAGTCTTAACTGTGTATATTCAGATGCCCAAGTGTCGAGCTCCATCAGTCGCTTGGGCGCCACACTCGCCCTGCATCTGCTGCGATTTCAATGTGAAAGTAGAGGCTTTAGGAAGGTTACACGGAACGTGGCATTCCCCTTGTCTCTTGACCTGACGCAGTTTGTTTCAGAGGAGGTACGATGCGAGTATGAATTGGAACGTAAACTTTTTTATTTGGAGACACGTTTCCCTCTCAAAGAACGTGATATTTTGGTTTCCTACTTGCGATCCACTTATGGCGACGTTCGTAAGGCGGAGCGGATGATAGTGGACGCGGAGGGAAAAGAGGTTTTGAATAACGCGCAAGGTGCCACGCGGAGATCTAATGTGAGGCGCAGGCCATTGGATGGCTCCTGCGCAGGGAACATAGTGTGCCATGGCGGTGCGCACGAGGGCGGCGATGTAAGCTCTATTGGTGACTCGTCACCGTCGTTAGTGGGTGCAACAAGTAGTTCGGAGAGGAGGCAGGGGCCGCTTCCATCGCTTAAGAGGGAACTTGTTGGTATCGTGGCGCACCGCGGTTCCTTGCATGGTGGACACTACATCGCATATGTGCGAGACGAGCATAATCCGAACACGTGGTTCCGCTGCGATGACGAGGAGGTGGAAATGGTTGACAAGGAATATGTTCTGCGTTGTCAATCCGAGGTGTATATGCTGTTTTACGAGTAGCAGGGAGTATGCGGGGTACGAGATGGGAAGCGCAGTGAAGTCAACAACTCCAACGAGGATGAAGGGTGGGGTGGGGGGGGGGGGGGCGAAATAAGTTGTGGAAGATGAAAGAAGCTAAAGACAGTGGGGGAAAAAATTGAAAAAGGATCCAATAAAGGCTATGGGTTGTGGAGATCGTGGGTGATTAGATGGAAGTGGGAGCTTGAAGGGGAAAATAAGTCTAAAAATGAGTGGAGGAACAAACACTGAGGGGAGGGGGGGGGGATAGACACGACGTGAACAAAGGGAAAGTAAGGACAATGCGTTGCTTTAACAGGGCGGCATAGATAAAAAGAAGAACGAACTGTAATATTGATAAATAATATACTCTTAGAGTTATGTATATAACTCACCTTCTCTGCATATGTGTGCTTTATACTCAGGGAAGTGCGGGCCTGCTGAAGGGAGGTTTCTTTGTTGTTGTTGCTGTGTACATGGGGGTGCGTTTCCTAGGTGCTCGACAGTCGCACTTCTCCATCTTTGGGTCAGTGCGTGGGGATACAGGCATTATTTTTGTTATTTCCTGTAACGGCTCTGCATGATTGACTCGTTGTACGCATAGATATCTGCTTCTTATTGACTGATGTGGGGCGCCATCGTTCGCTCTTGCTCTTATGGTACCACCATCGCTACTACTCTGGCAAGTGTTCTCCTCTCTTGTATTATTGTTTGAACATCTCTTTTTGTTATTGCTTCCTATCCATCTTTCTGTGAGGCGCCGTATTTGCTCCCGGTTTTAACTTCTTTTTTCTAAGCTTTTATTGCGCCTCTTTTTTGTTTGTGGCGGCAGGGCATTCGCTCCCAGCGTACTCATACCATCTCATTTTTATTATTATTTTTTATTTTTTTGCATTGCTCTTTGCTTACTACACGGCCGTGTCCTTGCTCTCAGACTTCTGCTTTTTTGTTTTGTTTTGTTTTATCTCAGGTTGCACGTTAAAAACAGTGTGAAGGTGAGACGATGAGCGCTACAACGAAGCAGATGGTCAAGCCGACCGGCGTTGTGCACCGGTACATGACGGAAGGCCAACGCGTTTGTGTGTGGCTTGTGCACGACACGCACATGAAAATTGAGGGTGTTCTCCTTGGCTACGACGAGTTCATGAACGTGGTGCTTGGTGATGCCACAGAGGTGCATCTAAAGACAGGGGAGGTGGTGCCGATAGAAAAAATTCTCCTTCGCAGTGACAATGTTGGTGTCATTCATCCCATAGGTGTGTAGGTGAAATGAAGCAGCAGCAGCATCCCTTTTTGACCTGTCACCGATAGTTTGTTGTTGTTTTTTCTCGTCTTTATACCTGCATGCATGCGTGCAACCTACGTGGAGCGGTGGGGTACGGGGGTGTTGTGCGTAACCGAGGATGGGAATGCGGAGGTGCGGTAATAAATGTTTAATAGGAGCGGATCTTACAGGGAAAACACCGCCGTGTTAACTCGACTGCCTCCTGCTCTGCGTGTGTCTTTTGGTGGGCCATGGCCACAGTTATAGGCTTGAGGAGATGCTGGATGCGTCTGTTTTTTTTTCTTTGTTTTTTTTTCCTTTTCCTTTTTCCTTGGATGCACGCAGCTTCACTGCAGCGTGAATTGTGGTGGGGCTGGAGTGTGAAGCTGTAGCACTTAGAGAAGTGACTGCGACTGCAACAGAGCAAAGGTAGTAGATACACATTCTTTATTTTAAGAATTATTTTCTTTTTAGGTTTCGTAGAGAAAAGGGCTCCTTCACTAGATCAATACCAAACCCCGCGGCTGTTGCAGACGCGAACAAAAAAAAAAAAGGGAAACAGTGAGAAAAACAAGCAACCAAACAATCAAAGGAGGGAAAATGGGCTGTGGGGTGTCTCACTTGCCTCTCAACGCTCTTGAGGCAAACTCGCCTCACAGATCGATGAAAGCCGCGTCCTGCGCCAACAATTGTGTTAATGGTTTTGCTGCTAACCTGACACCACTTGCAGATGGGATGCACGAGAATGGCATCGCGTCAGGGCTCACGCCGGATGATGGAGAATCCGCTCACAGCACTGACTCGCCGCCGCCTCGTTTTTCGGTTGCCCACGATGTGACTGGTGATGATAGCTGTGCGAATGCTGTTCATCACGCCGGTGGTCGGAATGACGGTAAACATGGCGGGGAACTTCCCTTTGAGTGGAGGCGCTCCGCCTCGCCCGTGCCTGATCTCTCGGAGTACGCCACCCTCTCACTGCATCACGTGCACAAGAAGTTGAAGCGTAATCATCGTGTGTTTAGAATATGTCTTACAGGTGGTCCTTGCGCGGGGAAATCGACATTTCTTACGCAACTTCAAGCGAAAATGCCGCAGCGCACGGGGTACAAGGTTTTTTGTGTTCCTGAGGCGGCGACGCTGCTTGTGGCGGGCGGTATGGAGTGGAACGGCGACCTCATCGAACAGCAGCAGCTGGCACTTCTCCGCGTGCAGCTGGCGCTTGAGGATCAGTTCTACAACGTGGCCATGGCCTGTGGGGCGCCAAGTATTGTTATTTCCGACCGTGGAACGATGGATGGAAGTGCATTTTGCTCCAAAGAGACTTTCATGCGCATAGTAAAGCAGCTAAATGCCTCGGTGGAGGTGCTACGCGACCGCTACGATGCGGTCATTCATTTGGTAACTGCTGCCTGTGGAGCTAGTGAGTATTACAACATGGACAACCCCGCTCGCTACGAAAGCATTGAGGAGGCTGTGGAGTCTGACAAGAAGCTGCGGCAGGTTTATATTGGTCACCCCATGCTGCGTATTATTGACAATTCTACGGCGTTTGAGGAAAAGATGGAACGAGGACTGGCGCTGCTCGGACAGATTATTGGACAGAAGTTTTCAATGCGTAACACGTCATATTATTTGCTGCGTCACTGCCCGAAGAAATTGCCGGTGCGGAGCGTCGCATCTACACTCACCATCACGGTGCTGTGCAACAGCCACATCAATGATGTTAGGCTCCTCATTCGACGAGAGCATCCCTCGGGCGAATGTATGTATCTCTTTAACTCCATTCGAAGTTTGGACAAATGTAGCCCCAGCCAGCAACGTGGGGGGTCGGATGGAAGCATTATGCGAGACGCATCTTTAGCACCCCATGAAGAAATCCAGGCTATGCAAAGTGCCTTCATGGGCACCATGGAGTCCAATCACCGTGCTAAGAACGAGCAACGTATCAGCGGTCGAGAGTACGCCATTCTGATGCGTCACCGCGACGCACAAAGACGTGATGTCGTCCTGAATGCTGTTCAGTTTCTTCACGACAATGCCAGGTACGAAGTAACTACCATCGTGGAGCCGTCGTGGGCCGCAGGAAAGCAAGCATTGACGCTTGAATGTGACGAAGATGAAAAGGTGGCATTCCCTTCGTTTGTCGAGGTGGACCGTGAGGTGCCGATTGACAGTCTTTCCACTGCCTTCCTGATAGCACACACAGAGATGGGACCACTTTACACGTCACTTGCCTACGCTCCGGTGTTTGTGCGTGGCGTCGTGACGAGAGGAGCGTGTGCTGATGCTGAGGGCAACTGTATCCACAAAAACAGTGGTGGGGAGGATAATCACGTAGCCCCACATGCCTCGAGGAGACATGCTGAAGATGAAGTAAATTCCCAAAAAAAGGTGAAGCGGAAAAAGAGGCAGCATGCCAAACGCACTGCTGCGAGTTATGGGGATGAGACCGTTGATGCCGTAGAACCTTCCCCCAATCAGTCCTCACTTGGCGCAAGTAATGACGTGTCGGTACCACTAACACCACCGCCACCTGCTCCTCGTGTGCCTAGCGGCCCGCCCACCGCAAACCCTCGCGGAGCGATAGCGAATATGCAGTAATAGTGTATTTCATTACTTTGATCATTAATGTGCCCTCAATGTTAGATTTCAATTTTTAGATTCACCTTTTTACCCGTTTTTATTTTGTTTCTTTGGAAGTGGGAGACATTTTGTACCGCTATTTTGTTTGTTATTAAAGTTAATGCTATCTGTTTTTTCTTTCTTGTGTGTTGTACACATTTTTTTTTGCTTTTATTTCTGTAATGCGTCATTGTTATTGCTGCTTCATGTACAGTTGGTCCTTCTTCCTGCACGTATGTCTGTCGATGCTGGCGTGTATGGTCGTGTTTTTCTATGCATTACACATGAGTGCAATACACGCGTCTTTACTATTGTGGTTACTCCAACGTGGAAGTCGCTCCTTACGTGCAGTTAGAGCTCTCTCGGTGCATGGAAAAAGAAAGAGGAAAAGAGGAGGTGTGTGTTCCGTTGCAGAGCGGGGAGTGGTATCCTTGTTTTGTTGCCTCGGTGTGAGATACGGAGGAAAAGAGATGAAGCGGGGGAAAAAAAAGGGCTGACACTTGGCACAGGGGTTTCCTTTATCCCTTCCTTTTTTTTTTTATCTCTTCTCTTTACTGCTTTTGTAGATAACTTCAATGTCGTGGCTTTTGTAGTTTGTACGTTTCGTGAAAGTTGTTTTTTTTTGTTTTGTTTTCTGTGAGTGTTAGCGGGGCAGGCAGGTGTGAGGCGGGTGCAACGTTATTTCGCGTGGTGCTTCCATGTAATTTGCATGTGTGTCTCTTTTGTTTTTTCTTTTTTTTTCTTTTTTCGTTGTGTGTGTGTGTGTGTGTGCTTCTCATGTAGGTCGTTGGGCGGGAAGAGTGAGTTCCGAGAGGAACACATAAAAGAAAGGAGGAGGAAAACCGTCAAGGCAAGAAACACACTGAGGGAAGAAGCGGTGGACGTGGACGCAAGTCGAAGAGGAGCCACGGGAAAGGAGTGTCTGTGTAGGAGGACGAGCGGGTGCAAAAGACGCACCAAAACAAAACAAAAAAAAAGAAGACAGACGCAACAGGGCGAGTCTGAGGAGAGAGTAGGTAAGGCGTTGGAATTAAAACGGGAACAGAGGCTGGTAAGGTGACGGTTAAAAGGTGGCTGGAGTTGTACATTTGAGAGATTCGGATGGCCAACAGCACGGAGGAATTGGAGCCCGTGGAATGCCTTATTTGTGCAGCGGCCTGCGAAGCGCTGGCTGTCTTTAACTGTGGGCACTACGTGTGTTACGCCTGTGGGCTGCATATTCACTCCATTGATCACGGTGCGTGTCCGGTCTGCCGCGAAAAAGGTGAGACAGTCATTGTGACTCGCACTCTGCCAGGCGAGAATGATGATGAGGATAAGTTTTGCGCGGCATCGATTCGGACAATGGAGGACATGTCTGCCTTTGACGCGCATTTGAAGTGTTTTGTGCAGGGTAGCAATTTGGCAACTGAAATGAGCAAAATGTACGAGTGTGTGTGTCCGGTGCCCAAATGCTGGCGTAGGGGCATGCAGGAGCCTTTTTGTGATATGTATCCTCTGCGGCAGCACCTCAGGATCGAACACAAGCTGGAATACTGCGGTATTTGTCTGGAGCACCGATCGGTATTTCTGTGCGAACAGCAGGTTTACTTGCGGGAGGCGTTGAAGCTGCACATGGATGGGGTGTGCCCACATGATGCCCCCTCGTTTTTGGGGCACCCATTTTGCAGATTTTGTCCCAATTCACATTTCTACGACGAGGATCATCTTCTCGAGCACATGAAGCACCACCACTTTACGTGTGACGTATGCAACCGTAGTGAGTTTCTTTTCAGATATTATGAAAATCGTAGAAAACTGCTTCAACATTTTGAGCAGGCACACAAGCTGTGCGACCATCCTGCCTGTGCATCACTGGATCCAATGGTGCGAGTGTTCGCCTCGGACTTGGAGCTGGCGCTTCATAAACAACGCGTGCACGGGGTGCGCTCGCGAGTGGCGCTTTTTATGGCAGATAACCCTCCCATAAATTCCGGCAGCAGTCCTCCCACAACGACATCGCCTGCAACAGGGGGCAATGCAAATGTCATCAGTATTACATTTGATCACGTGAACAGGCAGGATACAGTGCAACTGATGCAAAAGTGCGAACACAGCGGCAGCGGCACCGATAATGGTGGTGACAGGCGCAGAGGTAAAAAAGGGGGGGGTGGTAAGATTCATGTAGATTGGGTACGGGGTGACACGCCTGGGTTGCCACTGCATTTTCGGACTCGTGGCGTGTTGAGCCCACTCATGCGCAAAGGACGTGAACGGAATGCGGCGTCACATACGAAATTAAATTTGTGTGCCTTTGGCGTGTCGGAGACTGCAGAAGCGTACAACTCAAAGAATAAAGTACCATTAAACCGTAACGAGCTTCAGTGTGCCTTGGATACCGTTTTGCGAGAGGAACTGCCTGAGTTGCATCAACTGCAAGACTTCCGGTTGTGTACGGCGGAGTTCATGAGTGGAAAGATCCTGACCATGCGATACTACAACTACCTTCGCACCGAGTTCTTTCCATCCGAAGAGGCCTTTCAGAAGGTGTTTCCTCTGCTTGTTGCCACCGTCCCGCTCCCGCAAAGACGTGATGCGCTTGTGCAAATTGAGAAGATGCGAAATTCGCCCGAGGTGCAACATGCTCAGCGGATACAGGAGGAGGAGGCGAAGAAGAAAAAGGATGCTGAGAAGTGGAATAAGCAGCATGAGCTGCTGGCACGCATTGAGCAGAAGTCGAATCGGCGCAAGGGAAATGCCAGCGGCGCCCACAACGTCTGGCTTGAGAGAGGATCGGCCGCCCTTCTTAACCAGGCGCGCCAGCAGGAGCCCGAGGCACCACCGCAGGAGGAGCCGAGGAGGTCACAACAGCCCTCGCGGGCCAATAACAAAAACCGTGGAGGTGGCAACAGCAGCGGTAATCGCCCTTCGTCTGCCGAGACAGCTAATGCCACTAATACTCAGTGGGGTACAACGCATGAGCAACGGCAACTTCGGCCTTCATTGCTTCCCACTGGAACAGGGTATTACCAGGACCCAGGAGATTTTCCAGAGCTTCCCACAACTGACCCACGTTTGGCATGGGGGCGGTCACAAGCGAAGCGGGCTCCGCGACAGAATGCGTGGAACTGCAAAAGGATCTAAGAGAAGTTAAGAGAACTGATGCTTGGGATTGGCAAGGACAATGCACCAAAGATGGGGGTGTTGAACACACGACACTAGCAAAGAAAGGAGTATAGGAGAGGCTCTCCAAGCGGAAGCGGCAGCAGCAGCAGAAACAGTGACAGTGACAGTGGCAATGCATCACTGGCACCGTCCAGTGCCGCTACTTTGGGTTCATATGTATACTGATGTAACTCATGTTACTCTATTGTGGTTTACTTTATTCTCGGTGCTTTGGCCGCTTCTGCTTGACGTTGTATCCTTCACACGTTGACTGCTGCTGCCAAGCGTCGTGGATAAGCGTAAATCACGAATACAAACTACCCCAATGTACATGCATCAACTGAGAGTGGTTTCTTCCTTCGAGCTAAAGTCATGAACGAAGCCCATAATTAAGAGAATTAAACCGCAAGAAAAAAAAAATACTGTCGAGCAAAGAGCCTCTTTTATAAGTATCTCTACTGTCTTTCACTTATAGCCGCGCCTCTTCTTGCGCAGGCACCGCTGGTCCTTTATTTCCACTTCTTCTACACGCCCACTCACTACGAGTGAAAACGAAAATAAAAATAATTTTGATGCGTACACGTCGAGGTTTTTGTGCCTCAACCCATGAAGTAGGGATTCCCTTTTTTTTTCTTTTTAAGGAGGGGCGGGGTTTGCGGCGGGAAGGCTGAGAAGGCGGTACAGTTGAAGAAATGTGGGTACTCTGACGATGAGGGAATTTTGTTTTAGTTTTCCTAGCCTCTGTTGTTGCTGTTGTTCTTGGTTGCTTCCTCCTCTCTCTCTCTCTGTGTGTGTGTGTGTCTGCACGCGCGCATTTTTTTCACTTTAATTTGCTAACGGCTGCAAATTCGTTTGTGTGGAATATGACTGTGTGTGTTTCTTTGCCTTTGAAGGGTTTTTACACCGAAGGAGGGGAGCTGGCTGCGCGGCAGCGTTGCGTTGCGGGAACCAACATGGGGGGCCTAACACTTTTCTTTTCTTTTCTCTCTATTTCTCTCATGTTTTGTTTACGTACATGTATCCATGGTGTACACGCGCGCACTCACTCACTCACTCACACACACACACAAAGGTGAGAGGAAATCGAAGCCCAACACCACGAGGAAAGGGAGACGGAGGTACTGGTTGGCGTATTGTTGTGGTATTTCATTTACTCCATCCACGTCTTTACTCATTTTTTGTGTGTTTTGCCTTCACGAATGTCTTCTCGAATGAATACGTCGCTCTATAGTGAGCTTAATCGTCTTGAACGCAGTGACTTCCTCCTTTTTCACTGCGTGCAGCTTTCACAACACGAGCGCGACGTGCAGCGGTACTTCTTTGGATGCTACTTCCCGCGCTGGTGTGGGTTCTACTTGGAGGAGGTGCGGGAGCTGCCCGGCCCGTTGGGCTACAAGGTGCAACGTCACTTCCCCGCCTACCGCTTTGACGTGTATTTGAAGGACGATGGGGAAAACTTTCTTACGGATGATTTCCGGGAGGGTTCTATATTCACCCTGGGGCCCCCGCAAAATCAGCGTGACGACGGACCGAAACGATACAAAGTGGTACACTGCGACGATAGCCGTTTGCGCACACATACAGGTACAACGCTCGCGGCAATTGGCAACGACATAACGACAAGGCTGAATCAAACACACCGTGTCTCTGGTGAGGCGATAGATCTCCTCCGTGAGATTAGAGAGGCTTATGTTGTATATGCTGGCAATGGCATTCCTGAGGTTGGTATTAAGGCCATGGGACGCCACTTTCGCCACGTCAGTGCGGATGGAAAGCGGTGGATGTCGCTGGAGAATATTGCAAAGTTTGTTCGTGACTCTCGCGCCTTTGCCATTACGCTATCCTTTCATGACACGCAGCAGACAACGCTCAGAATTGACGGTATCACCAAATGCATTTACGAAGCCTTTCCACAGAACGAGGACGGCTGCATTGACTACGATTTATTCATGGATTATGTGCGTGGTCCGATGAACCAGAAGCGGAAGGATGCCGTTTGGGAAATATTCCGCAAGCTGGACTTTGACGGAAACGGTTACCTCAACATTTTGGACATTCAAGCCCGCTACAATGCACAGGAGCACCCTGTGGTCGCGGTGGAGGGACTTTTTTCAGCGGACAAGCTCCTCAAGGGCTTTCTCACCATTTGGGACGAGAACAAACAGTACGGACTGGTGCCATATGCCGAGTTTGTCGACTACTACAATGGAGTGAGCGCGGTAATTGCAGACGACGACATTTTCCTTGACATTCTCAAAAATCAATGGAAGGTGATGCGTGACTTTGGGGGAGTCCTAGGTGGGACGCGAAGGGGGAAGTAAAGCCTCCACGATGTATGTCAGACAAGCAAGACGTCACTCACAAGGGCGTTAAGAGGGCTATTTTGTCTCTCTGCGGTGGCACGGGGGGGACCCTTGAACGCATATGTAGTGTACTTTTTTTTTTTTACTTTTATGGGTTTTGGGGCTAGAGGCTCATTCCCGTTATTTTGGTTCCCGGTTTTCTCTACTTTTATTATCTCGCGTGAAGCATTGTTGTTTGTAAAATAATTATGTGTTATTCATCACGTTATGGTTATTGCCTCGGTGCTTCTTTCTGACCTCACTTTTCACGTTTGTGCGTACGTGCACATACATGTCAAGCAGTTGCTTCCTTTTGAGTCTGGAAGTATTGCACTGTGTTTGCCTAACACACATGTCAGGCCGACTAGTGGTGGTGTCCTCTACCACCACTATGGCTCAGGGTAGCTATTCTGATGCGTGCTACTTTATCGTCATAGAGTTCCCGGCACTGTGCGATGCTTGCATATGTCAAGGGGAAGCTACTTTGCCACCAGGCAGGAAGTTGGATTTCGCAGAGGATAATGCGTCTAAGGAGGAAGTAAACAATCATTCCTTCGAAAACGGGGTCGTGCAAGACGGTAAAAATAAGGTAGGAGTCGTTGTTATTACTGTGGATACCGTCTCTGGCCAGCTGCTATACACAGGCGTTCCACAGAAGGATGTGTTTGCTTCAATGTCTGAAGCCATGCACGCAATAACAATGTTAGGCTCTTACACATCCTCACCATGTGAGGTGCGCACAATGTGTGAGTTTGTTGCGTTCGCTGGCGGGTGTCTTGCAGAGGAAACTATAAATTTGCTTTTTATTGAGGCGAGTACACTACTGATGGGGGGCAGTGCTGTGACGACCAATTCAAATGACACAACGAGGGAGTTTAACCCGTTATTCTCAGTGCCTTTGAGCAACTGCATTCCACCACTTTTCTCTGTTGACAAGGCACGGTGGTTTCATATTCCCTTGCGAATTTCGGTACCAGCTCTGCAGCAGCCTCTCACAAGCGACGGTATACATGATTGGACGCTCGGCAGTCGTAGTTCAACACCTTGCGGTGTGTCCACTAGTCTGTTGAGTGACGATATGATACCGCCCTACTTGTACTTTTCACCAGGTGTGGATGTGACACATTGTTGTGTCTTTGGGGATGCCGTGAGGCGTTTGGTAGCCTTCCATAAAGCAGGAATTGAGAGAAGCTCTCTACGGAAGTTCAGTATCAATCCGAATGACAACCCTGTTTCAGCCGCGCTGCGCATCAACGAATTTCTTCCGCCGCTTCCCAGGCAAATGGGTCGTGATGCTTTAGGCCACTGTGATTGTCTTTGGAACGAGGAGCTTATTCGCTTTTGTGACGTGTTTGGCCTGGGGGAATGGTGTTGTCGTTTGGCTCTTGGGTCATGTGCCGCCGTCCCTTTGCCACATTCAGGTGCAATCGCTCGTGGTGCCATACTTGTTGTTCGTCTGAGCCGCTTGGCATTTCCGGAATGTTTCTATGACTATACACTCTCATCTTCGAAGGTGCCGTTAGACTTCTATGTCTCAACGCTCGAGGCCGAGTTTCAGCTGATCGTTATACGTGAGCCCTTGATGAGTCAACACGATGGAAAAGAGATGGAGTCCACTTTTTCATTTACGTGGCGTCGGGGCACGGATTTTGCCTGTCACAAGAATATACTGGAGCAGAAGGAGCGGTTTAGGGCCTGCGCGGAAAATTTTATTGATCCGCTGCCGCCACGTGAAGATCACGTGGTAGGCCTTTTCTCTGCATATCTGGAACGATATGGACCGGGGACAAGAATTTATTTGGCACACGCGGGGAATGTGATGATGCAGGGACCCACGTCAGCAGAAGATCCCGACATTGACGTGAATGATTTTCGGAGATGCAGCTCTTCCACACCAGGCGTAAAATCGCCCATGAAGAAACGACGTATTAGCCTTGTTGCATCGCCAAGGAGGCAAGGTAAATCCTTGGTGTCGCAGCTGGAGATTTCCGTATTGGGACACCGAGGTGGGGTGGACGCTGGTGCGGCAGCTTCAACTCTTGTGAACACGAGTCTGGAATCTATTCTTCAATCACTTACTGGGCATGTCAAAGCGCATGGTCTTCGTCCTACGGTTGCTGTTGGAACGTTGTGGCCCTTTTCTTCTTCCGTTGCGAGTTCGCCGGCGGGCATGCTATCAGAGTATGAGGACAAATTCTTACAGACCTTTTGGGGGAGGGAATTTATTCATGTGACTCAGGAAAAGACGGCAGATATTGGGGTGCCACGTGTGTGCGTGAGTGACGAGAGCCATGTGAGCGTCATTGCATCCATCATTGTCTCGCTTGGTTGGATGCTGAGTTGGTTGTGTAGCGAACTTGGTGCGGGAAGGGATGCGGTTCAATTTTTGTTGGAGTCCAAGGATTGGGTAGAGGATATCATCCGTTTGGTGGGCAACTCCGCAGCTTCTACGCCTCAATTTCGCGTTGTCTTTGTGAATCGAGAGGCAGTGGATCGGGTACGGCGTTGCCTCATCAATATTTGTGGAGGAGCTTCAGTTGCGTTTAGCCCAGTCGTTTGGGCGACAGCACAGTACATTGAACAGCTCTCTCATTACGTCACAGACCACCTTTCTGTACCCAAAGGTAAAGAGGAGTACAGGGATCAGCAGGGGAATGGAGTCATAAACAAGACGATGCACGCGTTTCTAAGGAAATTTTTTCTTTCGGAGGGCGGATTTTATCCTAGGGAACTTGTGCGACATCGAATCGTACTTCTCTCACACCCATCACGGCTTTCCTCCATTATTAACGTTCAAATGATAGTTTTACCTTCGAAGGTGCAGGACTCCGCAGTGACCTTGGATAGGGCGGAGGTCGCCTGTACGGGTTTGCGGGAGAGGTTGTTTCCATTTACCCCCATGCGTCATTTGAATGCAGCCACCACATGCGATGAGGCGATATCCCTTGTGTCGCCTTCGGATGAGGGGCCCACACCGACTCTGAGTATGCTACACGGACTTATACACCCTTTCTCCCAACCACTTTGTATGCCGTCCTGCTTTGAAGTGGTGGAGTTCACTATCGCTTTACCTTCTCTTTCATACGTCACGCATGTGGCCTTGATGGTGGCAAATGCCGTTCAGCTGGCTCCATATGCTGCGGTACTCTCTCTTTCCCTTTCGGCATCCTGCTACGTGGGTCAGGCGCATGAAAGGGTTGTCTTGGAAGATGCTTTGCTCCCACTTTGTGTTAACAGTCGATCATCGCGGGGTCGACAAACGGCACCTTATTTAATTTTGTTTGAGTTGTGTCGCCCTTCCCATGACAAGGCTCCCTTTTCAACTGTTGAAGAGGCAGATGCGGGTATTGGTGCGCCTGGTCACAGCTTCAATCAAGCTACGCCTGTTGTTGCACGTTATCTGCATCTCTCGCTTCGCGGTTCGGGCTGTCATCGGATGGCACTGCCCCCCATTTTGGTGTTTGGTGAACCTGTTGACTTCATTCCATGCAAGGAACTGGAGTCTGTTGTGGGCCGCCATACAGTGTTGCATCGCATGCTTTATGCGGCACGGTCTCCCTTTACGCAGGGGGTTGCAGACAACCTGCCTGCCGCGTTTAGCGGACCGACGACACCTCAGTCTGTCGCGACGGCTGCGGCGAACGATACTCTGAGTGATGGTGGTGCTAAGAAAACAAACGGCTGCTTTGGCGGGGATCAGAAGGAGAAACGTGAAGCTACAGGGAAAGCGCACACACACGGGCAACAAGAGGTTAGCACGTGTGGGGCGACGCACGGTCAGGAGGAAATGTATTTGCAGAAGGTTAACGGTGTCATTCCAGCAGATCTTTTTGAATTGAATTTCGACGTGACAGTGGCGATGGAGTCGAAGCGGATTCAGTGCCATGCGCGCCGTTGCTACCGCGATCTGCGTTTGCATCGCTTGGGTGTCCCACTTTGGGTCATGAATCCGGCATACCAGGTGTTTCCGCACTCCGCATTTCACCGCTCCCAGATCCCGGAGGGAGCAAGGGAAGTGGAGTTTATCAGGCGCCAACAGAGGGGACATAAGACAGCGAGCGGAGAATCTTGTGCTGGTGGTTTTGACAGCACCGAAGAAACGAAAAAAGGTTGTGTGAAACACAAGGATGGAAAACGTTGCGTTCTTTGTTCTCGTCGGTTTTCGTGGTTTTCATCCGCCAAGGAGTGTCACCGGTGTCGACGCCATGTGTGCGAAAAATGTCTTTCAGCGATTCCTGTGCGTTTGCTTGAACTTGGTTTTCGTGATCGTAGTGCATCTGTATGTATGGCATGTTTTGAAAAAGTTATGCGTCTTGAGGACATTATGAGAGGTTTTACGTCAAGTGAGTGTCTTGGTGAGGAGGAGAGCGATGTTGAAATGGACGAGGCGATCGATTTCTACGCACGCTGCACAACACCTCATCTGGCATCCGTTCTGGCCCTGTACCCTATTCCTACATATGGAAGCTACTTGTATTCAGGCTTTCTGCAGGCTTTCGATAAACAGTCTTATCAGTTGACAATGTACCCACTGACACGTGTAGTGAGTGCGCCTGGTATGGATGACGTAAATACACCGCTTTTTGAAGAGGTGCTTGGCATCATGGGATTTAACGGAAATGTTTCCGTGGGATGGCGCTGCGTCACTGATGGGGAAAGGACAGAGTCCGATACACGTGTTAGTCGGCACGTGATTCTTCTCCTTCCTCATGGAGCTGTGGTCTCGCATGGAGTACTACGTTACGCGTTATTGGGTAAACTTCGTGGAAACATTGACGTTCAGCTGCTCTTGGGAAATTCTTTGCATTCTCTTGAGCCCCTGTCTGGGGCGTGCATCGGTAACTCCGCGGTGCCTGCTGAAGGGACTGGTGATAACTCACTAAAGGAGGTACTGCTGCAGCGCGAGGTGTTTGCTCCTTCTCGGGACGTAAGGGCGAAGGTGGAACTCCCAACATCAACACCACCCAAGAATATGACGTCAACCAGTACTGTCATGGGGACGTTATCTCCACGCAGTCCGACGGTGCGTCTTGCTGCCCTCTATTTTATTGGATTCGTCAGCGATCTTTTTCTTCTGCGCGTGGATCATTTTTCACTATGGGGTCGATTCACCTCTGATGTACCACAGGTAAACGCGTCGTACTACAAGTGTAGGCCGGATCACTCTCGCTATGGCAAGTTTTTGTCGAATATGATGCATGGCACGAGCGGTGTGTTGGGTATCGCTTCTCTTCCTCGCATGCTTCCCATGACACGCCTTGTTCCGCTGCGCAACGTTTTTTTGCACAACAACTATGAACAAGTCTTGATGGAGTTTGACTTTGGTGTTTCAGTGACCATTTGCGGTTTCACTTTGGAGCTGCACCATCCCGCAGTGATGACGGGGATGCACGAAGGCATCGCGACAGCATTGCGCCTTATCGGCGTCACGGCCTCGGGCTACCGCGGCAACATGGGTATATTCAAGTTGCCATGGCCCCCTCTTATTTCATGCTCATCGGCTGCGCCATTGTTGTCTGATGGCAGTTTTCTTGACATTTTCTCATACGCGTACAGTCTGCCGTCGACTGCCTACGATGTTGTGTCGGTACTTGTCGAGGTGGTTGAGTGGCGGCTTGCGGCTCATTCTGTGGGCAAAGAGCACATGAGGAGGAGCAGGACAAGGCAAGGCGGATGCAGCACAACCAACAGCGGTAGAGAAATGGAGACAACTCTCGAGCCTGGTATTTCCTTCCGACGGAAGATTTACTTGGGGAGGATGCAATTCTGGACAAGCGCCAATGCAAGAACGCAGCGTATGGTGAGCAGCCACACGTACACCTCCATTCATACCGCATTGGATGACACGCAGTATTAGTTGCTTTCATTTTTTTTTAATTTTTATTTTTACTTTGCTTATTGTTGTCATTTTCCGTTGCAGGGCAAAGGGGCTGGTGGGAGGCGGCGTGTGTGTCGAATGAGTGGTGGGTCCTTTGGGACTGTCGTCACGGACCCGGAAGCATGCACGTAGGAAATAGCTACCAACAAGAACGACAGAGCGAAGGCTCACTGTAGGTGCGCTCTCGTTGCTCACCCCAACCACCATTCAGTGCAGATGCTTTGGAGTGCCTTCGCGTTTGATTGGTGAAGGGTGCCTATCTGTATGTGGCTGTGGGTGTGGTGGGGAAAGGGCGAGAGTCCCCATTATTTATTTATTGTTTTTTTCTTGTTTATATATATATATATATATATATATTGCAGCCAAATATCCTTTTAAGCAAACTCCACATTTAAGATTACTAACGTTGATGAGCGCGGAGAAGACCATTCTGTCAATTCAATCGTTTGTTACCCACGGTTACGTTGGAAACAAGGCCGCCACCTTTCCACTACAGTTGCACGGTTTTGATGTGGATAACATTAACACTGTGAGCCTTTCCAATCACAGCGGCTACCCGATTATTTGTGGGCACCGCATGGACCTTCAGGAGTACGAAACTTTAATGGACGGGATTCGTGCGAACAACTTCCTCTCCAGCTATCGCTACGTTTTGACCGGGTACATCAACAACGCCGATATTGTGAGGAAGGTCCGGGACACGGTTCGTGAAATACGGACGCTGCGTGAGAAGGAAGGAAAGAAGCTGACTTTTGTATGCGATCCAGTCATGGGAGATGATGGCATTATGTACTGCAAAGAGGAGGTATTACAGGCGTACAAGGATATGATTGGGAATGCCGACATCTCCACCCCAAACTATTATGAAGCAAGTCTGTTGAGCGGCATCAATATTACTGATATGAAGACTGCACTGCAGGCAGCAGACTGGTTTCATGCACAGGGAACCAAAATTGTGGTCATTAAGTCCTTCCGCACGAAGGAGGACCCTCAGAACCTCCAATTTCTTGTCTCTTCCATGACAGATGAAGATAAAACACCTCAGCGCTTTACCGGTGTGTTTCCTTACCTTGAGGGGCGCTACACTGGCACTGGTGATGTTTTCTCGGCGGTCTTTCTGGCCTTTTTACACCAGCACCCACTAGAGGTGGCGGTGGGAAAAGCGATGGGTGTCCTGCAGGACGTCATTTTGGCGACGCGCAAGGAAGGCGGTGATGGTAAGAGCTCCTTGATGAGCCGCGAGCTGCGCGTGACGAGGTCAGTCCAATCATTGCTAAATCCCACCACTCTGGTTGAGGTGAAGCCAATGTGATCAGCGTTAGTCCTGTATCAACCCCACTCTAGCTGCAGGTGGTTTGCTCTGTGGCCAAACATGCACATGCGAATCTCTCACATGCAAACGCACGCACACAAACACGCATACATACACATACGTCGAGGCCCAGTATTAGAGATGCAAGGGAGAAAAAGGGCTCGGTGACCATTATTTATTTATTTATTACTATTAGCGTAATCCAATCGCGGTCTTTTTCTTCCATATTTTTATTCTATCTTATTAAGATAAAAAACGAAGCAAGTACAGATGGGAACGTAAGAAAACACAAACCAAAAGTGAAAAAAAAAAAAGTAATAAATGACTGGTGGTGGTGGTGGTGGTGCTCCCTAGCCAGCAAAATGTCTTTTCTTTTGAGGAGAAAGAACAACAATTAAATTTAATGTTACAAAACACAATAACACAATGGGAAAGTGAAAGGGAAAAAATCAAAACGTATGGAGAGGTGAGTTTATTGTTTTTGTGGGTTTTCGATGCGGCGTTGCCGCCTTTCTTCGAGCATGGGTGGGCGCGCAAGCCTCACGAGTTATGCATGTGCTTGACTTTTTTTGTTTTTTTTTTATTTAGGCACGACGGCGGGTTTTTGTCCCTCGCAACGACGGATAAAGACGGAAATGTTGTCCTTAGGGAAAAGGGAGGGGATAATGAAATGAGTGAAATCCGCGGAACTCTTCTATTTTATCTTTCTCTTTCTTCCCGTGATTTTTGTTTTTGTTTTTCTTCCACATTTTGTTTTGAGGACACAGCGCGAATAGACCAGCGTCGTGCAGTCAAGGCGCCATCAAGTCGTCTGGCGCCGCTTCCCACGCGATGACAGCTGACTTTGTTTTTCACGAGGTGAGGAGGGAGCGGGACGTTGAACAGCACAGCGCTGTGGTGGGGGCGCTGGAGCGGTGGTGCTATTTGCCGTACCCAGCGTGCTCCCGCAGAAACCTGGAGCAGGTGGATCTCTTCCTGGTGGCCTCCCCTACCTCCACCTCAGCCAGCACAGCAGCAGCATCAACATCATCAACAACAACAACAACAACGACGTCGGGGGCTGTGGAGGATGCCTCCTCAGCTATGGTGGGCGTGGTGGGGGTTGTGTGGGTGCCTCTTGCGCCCGGTCGTGAAGTGGAGGGCTACATTCAGGTCGTTCTCGTGCAGTCCGCGTATCGCAGGCGCCACATTGCAGAGGACCTGCTACAACGTGTCCTGCAGCTCGTGGGGGGCGGTGATTCTGTCCAGAGGATTTTTCGATGGCGGCTGCACACTATGGTGTCCTCGCCGCAAACCACTGCGTACCTCCGTAGGGTATTGCCGGAAAATGATAATCCGGCCGTGCAGAATGAGTTATTGGAGGAAATGGAGCGACTCGTGGCTGCTGTGCCGCGCGTGTACGAAAAGTTGGGGTTCACCATTCGGAAAAACATGTACGCGTACTACAACAAGTCCGCAGACGCGGTGGAGATGGTTAGGCGCGGCTGAGCAGGGTGGGCGAAGCACCTGGTGACGCCTTTTGGGAAGTAAAGAAGGGTGCATATATATGATCAACCTCACAGTAACGAAACGCCGCTTGCTTTATCGACGAGACTCCACCTACCTCCCCACGCAGGTCTCTGTGTGTCTTGTGTGTGTATTATTGTGTCCTATTTCTTCTACCGCCTTTTTCCTGTGCTAGGTAGGAGGCCCTTGGTGCATTCACTCAGCATGCCTATTCCACTGACTTCCTTCACAAAGTCCAAGTGGCTGGCTTTTTTTGCGGAGCTCACAGCAAAGGTGACGCACCACAATGTGCTGGTGGTGATGGAGGGGTGTGAGGTGATCAAGCGAATTCTCGTGTCAAGCGTGTCCGTGGCGGCGTTTTTGGAGGAGGGTGAACTCATTACGCATCTTGTGGATACCATTGCTGGTGACATGCTGTCAAGCGAACGCCGCAGCGGTGGGCCACCGCTATTCATGGCAGAGAAACTTCTCTTTACGCAACTTGAGACACTTTCTCTTTTTGTTGACATGATGCTCGCGCTTTACGTAGACAAGGATCCCTATTACTGCCTCCTGGTGCTCGCACGTGCCGGAGATATTCTGGTGACCCTCGTCAAACTATTGCAACGACAGCACCCACGCTTTTTTGGACTCATCGCGGCGATGGTGCAGTCGCTTCTGTCGTTACCACTTGGACGGGAGGTGCAGAATCTGCCTCTTAATGAGAGCCACTCTGTTACGTTCAGGTGTCATGTGCAGAAGCTACAGGCAGCGGTGACCCAGACCAAGGAAATCCTGCAGGAGGCGTTGGAAACGTTGCAGGCGCTCTACTTTGCTATGGACGGCGCGATGCGCTACTGCAGCCACACTTTGTTGAACATGGCATCCCACCGTTTCCGACAATTGCAAAAGTGTGGTAAGCAGGGGAATAGTACTGGAAGGGATTCTTCTGCGAGGCAAAACGTCGGGTTAAACCGAAGTGAACCTGCTCCTTCTGAAAGTGCCATGGACAACACTCTCGGAAGCCATGACACGACGTGCCTCACCGTGGATGAAACCAAAATGTCCATCAACACAACTGTTGAAGGGGAAGATATGATTCCAGCTTATAGCACGAATACTTCCATTCCTGAAGAGGAGTACAATGACTGCTTTGATCGCTTGTCGAATGCTCGCTCGCATGAGGAGTTTTTGTTCATGTTGAACCGTATCTGGTGTCTAACTGTGGCAGATGGGGAGGAACTGCAACGCCGGTTCACAAGCCTCAACTTCAACCGGGCATTCAGGCGGTTTCTTGAGACCATGCCATCCAATCACCTTGACCAGGTGGTGTTTACATCAGTGTTGTTGTGGCTATCGCGCATGATGTCTGGCTTCCACCTTCTTGGTGAAACACGTGACAGTATCTTGTCCGTTGCTGGGTCCTCGCTTATAAAAATTATTCTTCAGGACCTGAACACTCGTGATCTGTTACTGTCGCAACGAGAAGCATCCGACCTCTCCACTGTTGACGCAGCTGCACTTGCGACAAGTGCGGCCTCCATATCCAAAGTAAACCTGAGCAACTCGTCCCCTATGCTGGACGAAAGATCAGGCAGTCTTGTGGAGCGGCCATCGATTTCGTTAGTTGTTTTCTCTTTTTTACTTATCGCGGAGCGTGCGTGTGAGCCGCGGGAGATGGCACAATGGATTCGTGAAGCGGGTCTTTTTGTTTTGCTTGAATCCCTCATTAGAAATGTGGAGCAGACTAAGTCTGCGTTGATTGACACGCCGACTACAGTGGATGGGACACTTTCGGACGAAGTATATCTTGCCGGTGTCATGGCAGCTACACGAACGGAGCATGTCACCCTCGCCGCTCTCTCCTGTAAACTTCTCTCTTCTGTTATTTGGAATCATCACGCGGTGCTGAATGAATTACTTGCCTCCGAAACTTTTGGAATGCTAAAATCCATAATTCCGCTTTTGCTGACTATTGGCGTCCACAACCCGACACTCACATCTGCCATTGAAAATAGTTCAGGTTCTGCCCTGCATCACTTACCAAGTTGCCCACGTTCATCTCGCTACACCTCTTTGGGTGAGTGCAGCCTGGTCGCGTTGGATGCTTGTCTTTGGCTTGTGCAAGTTTCCCAGATGGATGCAGTGTGTTTGAGCGATATCATTCTGCGTCTTCCGGCACTTTCGCGGGCAACACGCAATAGTGTTCATCCGCCACTCCGCGCCTCTGCCTACCGCTGTCTGTCGCGCCTCTGTGCTTCGTCTACAGAACTTATGACCATCATGCAAGAGATGCCATCGGTCGTGAATGCCGCCGTCAACAGCGTGCTGGAGTACACGAAGACGGCGCCACAGTGGGAGGCGGCAGCTGCAGCAGAGTGGTTGACAGACGTCATTCGCATTGCCTCAAGCGATGCCGAGATGGAGCAGAGTTTTGACTTCACCCAGTCAGCACTCCCTGCTAAACTGTTGGAGTTGGCCTCATGCAATGGCATTACATACGCCACAGCCGCCATGATGTTTTTGATGACCTCGTTGTTTGAACAACAAACGCGCCTTGCTGCACTTCATAAAAATTCATTTACTAACGTTCTTCTGCCGTATGGTAAGCGGTCACTGGAATGTTGGTGGCAGCTCATTTTTGTGGTGACGCGAGCAAACGAGAAGCTGGTGTGTGTACATGAAAAACAGATACCTGCGGTGACAACCACAAAGGATGCCCTCTCACGCTTTCTGAGTGGTATCGAGGGAATTTCAGTGCATTTCTCTTTTGTCTGTTCCCTGGCACGCGGACTGCTCTTCCTTTTTGCTTCCTATCCCATTCTTGGGGAGCAGGTTTCAAATGACGTTATGTGCAGCTTCCTTGTAAGTGTATTTGCTCTTCCCTCGCCTAAAGACGTGTTTGACATGTTGTCGTCCCGCTTTGGTGTGAAGGTGGAGCAGCGTGGAACGTTGGGGAATTCGTACGAAGTAATGCTACAGTGGGTGATAGAACTTTTTTCGTATTGGTTTAAAACAGCGAATCGGACGGCGAAGGAACCTCCCACTTTGTCTCCTGCCTTCTTTAGGTGCCTTTGCAACATTATGGGAAACAATTGCCTTTCGCAGCGCATTCGCGCGCATATCTGCTCCCTCGTCTCCGATATTGTCGTTGCACGATCCGAGGTTCTTGCTGAGGTCTTGGCGGCGTCTAGTGGTGATCTCTTTACAGCATCACTTGGTATTCATCCTTCTTCTTCCGTCTGTGGAATGCAGTGCCGTCTCGTGTTACTGTTTGCACCAGCCAATGAAAAGGCGCACGAAGTTGAGTGGGTCGCCGCAAAGTTGGCAGAGCTTGATGGACACGTGCAGTCCTTAAAGAAAAATGGTGGCATGCTTGGAGGTGAGGAGATGAGTTCTCTCATGATGCGGCTTTCCTTTCTGTCCAGCGTGATGGCCTTTCCTGGGTGTCGTGCCTTATCACAGAACGTTATGCACTCGTTTTGCGCCTCACTTCGCACCACATTGGGGTATGAGACGACGCAACGTGCAGCTTTTCAGGCGGCCGGAGCACTGGCGCGTAGTAGTCAGGGGCGACGCTGCCTCTTGCACGAAGTCTGTTCTACCGGTGACCCACTGGCTCGCTCAAGTTTTGGCCGTATCGTGGGCATCACACTCGGCGTCTCGCAATCCGGTGAGCAGCTGCAGCTGCAGAAGGAAAATGACAACGCCATGAAGAATGTTCCGTTGTCCGAGCGGGAGGCTTTTAGAGCTGCCGTCGTATCGTCTGGATTTGACATCTGCGCCACGGCATGTGGCAATGGAGGTGAGCCGTTTACGCACGCGGTGATGAAGCTGAGGGGTGTTGAGCAGGTGGAGTCTCTTTTGCTGAGTAATGAACGCCGGCGAGTGGCGACACCGTTGGGTCCCTTTCGACTGTTAGCGGCGCTCTCGTTTCAGGCGGACGCGCAGCTCGCCATCATGCGACAGGCAGAACTCATGACAATTTTGGTAGAGACTGCGGCGAACACGAACTACGCAGGGAGCCTGTCACTGTTGACGCTCCGCAATCTTTGCTTTAACCCCACACTAAAGACCAAGATATGTCAAGACAGTCGTCTCCTTCTGACGTTTAAGGCAGCCTTGATGACGGAGCCATCGCCGCAGATAGTGATACACGATGCTAGAAGCCCGGGCTCAAAGGACTGCATGACGTTGGTGCCCTCCCCAAAAGGTGAGTTGCAGGCGAAACGCGTCTCTCTACAGACGCTTACAGAGCAGACACTCTTGCAGCAGACAAAAAAGTCAGAGTGTGTGGCCACCACAGGTGACTTATTAGAAGCTTCCGAGACGTGTCGCCGTCAGCAGTTGGCAGTGAGCGCCTTCTGGTCGCTTATGTACGACAACCAACGGGGGAAGTCATATGTCCGTGGTGTTCTCAACGAGTCACCGGCGGTGAACATCAACAAACTTATGCAAGCTTGCTCAGATGTTACTGTGTGCGCCCCGGATCTTGAAACCTTCCAGGAGAAGATGTCAGAAGCCATTGGAAACATTAAGCTTTTGGGAAAAGGTGCCATTTAAGACAGACTGGAGCGAGTTTGATAGCTGGTGTTACACAGAGAGGTTTGCGAAGGGTGTTTGTGGATAGAGGGCGAACGCATTTGGCACAGTTGGAAGAAAACAAAATGAGAGGCAAGAGTGTGAGAGAGGAATGATAAACGAGAACAATTCTGTTCCACACCATAGATTTTTTTATGTCAAGAATAAAATTGTTTTTGTTCTTGTTGTTGTTTTTTTTTTTGTTTTTGAGCATAAACCCTCTCTGGGAGGGAGACTCACATCATTTAGTGTTTCTTTCTGCTGGTTTGTTGTTGTTGGATAATTCAGTTTTCAATATTCTTTTTTTTTTTTTTTACTGACCGGTACGACGAATGGATTGGGGCGAGCAACACGGGAGGCCTCCACTGTTACTTTCCTTTACCTTCCCCAAATGTTGAAAGATAACATCTCTTTGTAGGTGCACCCATGCCTCTCAATTACTATTACTATATTTTATTTTTGCTTCTACTTATGCTATTTTTTGCCTTATTATTTCCTGTTGGTTTTGAGGTTGTTGAAATCCGCTGGGGACAGAAGGTTATATTCCCTTTTTATTGGTGGTGACTGCGGGAGAGAGCAGACAGCGGTGACGGGGGGGGGGCCTTCGAGAAAATGGCAGACGCGGCAAAGAAGGCATCATTACTTCTTTTTGTTCGTCAGGTGCTAGCGCGCGAGAAAGCCTGTACTAAAGGTGGGATGCAAACAATGCCTGAAACGTACGAGGATCTTGGCGATGGGGCGTTTCTGTACCGCATTCTCGCTTGCATCTCCCCAGAGACGTTTCCGGATGCCGCAGAGATTGCCGAACAGGCGGAGTCGAGTCGGCAGAACAGGGTGGTGCGGAAAGGGAACCTTGTGGCTCTTGTGCAACACATGGACGATTATGTTCATCGATTTCTTGATGCACCGGATACGTTGAGTCTCACGCTTACACTTCGGCCAGCGGACATTGCAAACTTAACAGCGTTGAGTGGGGAGTTGAAGGCACCGTTGACATCCGACGTGGGCATAGACAGTTTAATGGAGCTGACAGACATTTTTCTTGTCATCGTTGTTCTCAGCGGGAATCCTATCATACTGCAGGCGGTGAAGTCGTTACCGCACGCGGATCAAGTGGCGTTGTCCAACGCGGCAAAGGCATGTGTCACCAAATACGCGCTACGTCCTCGGCGGCGCCACGAGACACTAACGTTGGGGAACTCTGCTCCCTCCAGCCCGTATCGTGGCGTCACAATAAAGCGGAGTGAGCCGTCTTTCCACTCTGGCCTTTGCTCTTCCCCGGTTGTGGATGAAGCCGCCTTCACGCAAGAAATTTCACAGCTTCGTCGTGAACTGGACGATGCGAATGCCAAAGTGGTGGAACTTGACGCCAAACTTCACCTTACCATCACAGAGAAGCAGGAGTGGGAATCAAGGTACAAGAATTTGCTCGCGGAGGCTGAGCTCGGACGCACGGCCGCTGCCGGTGAAGATCATTTGCGGCAGCTCTTAGCAAAAAAGGAGAACGTTGTCCAGAAGCTCACAGCAACAATTGAGGAGCACCAGAAAAGAATTTCAGCGTTCAAAGAGGCTACTGCGGCACAGGAGGCGGCTTTAGGTTCGTTTAAACGCAAACTCAAACACACCGAGGAGGAGTTAATGAGGAAAAATGTTGAACGGCGGGAAGCATTGGATAAGCTCAGTGTTGCTGAAGAAAGTTTGAGTGCTCAGAGGAACGCCCGAACGGAACTAGAACGACAACTGGAGGACATGCGCACGGAGTTGGCTCTCTTGAAGGCGGAGTGTCCTAATAGTATGGACCATGGTGAGGTGTGCTCGAATCGATCGTTTGGTTCAATGAACTCCATTGATCGTGTGGTACAGCTTGAAAACGAATTGGATGAGGCAAGAAGTCAAAAAGAGGCGGCTGAGCGATTACTTCATGTTCTTCAGCGACAAGTTGCACCACTGCCAGCAGAAGGATTAAAAACCTATGCTGCAGTGGACGCCTTAAAGGCCCAGTTGCGGCAGGCCGAAAAGGAGAAGGGAGACTTGCGCAACCAACTAGCTGCAACTATTGCAAAATTGGAAGACGCACAGAGTCATCGGAGAGGTTACGGCAGCACGAGTGCTACTGACAGTGAGACAGAGAGCCTCTTGAGAGGAGGAAAGCTCAGTGGAAGAGAAGTAGAGAGTCTGTCTGAACGGGACGTCACGGAGGCGTTTGTCCAGCAGATTCGTCCATGTGAGAACCAAGATGGGATGCATCGGGAGAGGACTTTACTTGGCTCCACCTTGCTGCTTTTTGGCTATCGCAACTTGATGCTGCAGCAGCGGGCTATGCTGACGAACAGCAGTTCGTTTACTGTTTCTGGTGACGAAGAAGACAAGAGCAGTGGGAGTGTATGGACCACAGGGTCCTTCTTGACACGTCATCGACACGAGGTGGAACAGGGCCTCTCAGCTTTGGTCTTGAACCGCGGCAGCTGATGCCGCTGATTTGAAGAACCAGCAACAACAACAAAACAAAAAAAAACGATTGGAACCTTTGGTGATTCTGCAGTCCTTTGCCGTTTGCTTCTCTCGTTGAGTAGAGCGGTGTTTTAAGGTGAGTCTTTTACCGTTGCTTTTTTTATATCTTCAATGTTGTTCTGTAATGGTGTCTTTAGTTGGCTGTTGTTTTCTCATCGGAAGTACCATACCGTTTGGTGGCGGGCATCAGAATACACGTCCGGTTGGCGTGTTTGTGTGGGATGAATAACTGCCACACATAGGCGTGGAAAATAAGGAAACCAACACCTGTAATGGGAACAACAAAACTGTCGCTGTGGATCCTTAACCCTATCTATTATCTGCCTTTACTTTTTTGATGTGATGTTTAAACGTTTGTTTCTTTTCTTCTTTCTGGTGATGGTGGAGATGTGTTTCTTTACACGCACGTGCTCTGCATCTGACGGAAGAGAAGCGTGAACGCATATATATATATATATATATATATATACGCCAGTGCGGGAGGTGGTGGGGGTGGGGGACCGGAGTGCCTGAGGCCGCCTTTGGATGGAGTCGCAGAATTTGCCGGCACAGCAACAGAGGCAAGGCGAAGACGACGATGATAGTGAGTCCGAAGACGTGATTGAGGAGAGGAAATTGGAAGAGGACGACGAGTCGTACGTCAGTGGTTCGGATGACAAATACGAGGATGAAGAGGAAGAGGATGAAGAGGAAGAGGAAGAAGAGGAAGAGGAAGAGGAAGAGGAAAAAGAGCAGGAGAACCTTCTTTCCTTTGCAACATTTCCGCTGGAGGCGTTACAAGGTCAGCATATTATGGTGGTAGCCGCGTTTAATCGGTTCATTGTAGTTGGCACCAACCGTGGCGTGGTGGCGTTAGTGGAAGTGTCTGGAGTGGTGGTTCGTACGCTGAATAAGCATGTTGACCCCATCAGTGACGTAAGCTGCGACACAGTGGAGGAGCATGTTGGGTCCTCGGACAAATCGGGTGTGGTCACTGTGCAGAACTTGTACGACGAGCAATGTTTTTACCGAAGGCAGTTTGACGTTCCAATCCATTCAATGGCGCTCCATCCAAGGTACAGCCGCAATGAGAATCGACCCATTGTTGTAGGTGGTGGTGATAAGGTGATGCTCATCACAAAAGCGAGAATTTTGGGCCACCGCAAAAGCACGATTTTGCAGGAGCGGTGCGGAAAGGTTTACGTGGTGCGCTGGTGTGGCCCCGACCTAATCGCTTGGGCAAATGATCGTGGTGTGCAGTTGTATAGTTACACTGGGCGGGCGATGGTGCAGTTTGTTGCACGACCTTCAGACTCATCAAGACTGGAGTTTTATCCCTGCTCACTTGTCTGGGAAGCCCCTCGCACCCTCACCTGGGGATGGGGGGACTGGGTTCAGGCGCTGCACGTCTACGAGCTGCGGATAGAGGAGCGGTTGAGGTGGGGGACCGAATTTATGTCGCGGACGCATCGAGTGGAAGTAATGCCGGCTATGCAACCGAGCACAGTGACGGAGCCGTGTCGCGTATGCGGTATCGCTCCGTTTGGTCCAGACCGATACCTTGTGCTTGCGTGCACTCTCGAGCAGGAAGGGTATATGAAGGAGCTAGAGGTACGTATTGTGGAGCGTGCCACATTTGTTAATGTTTTCCGTGGACGTCTGCATACTAAATACAAGCATCCCTTGCAGTATAGTTTGACCTTCTTAGCTTCTGGTGGTGGTGCCACTTACGATGTTGCGAAGGCAGCGTCGAAAGTGGCACCTGCATCGCAGCTGTCCTTGCCACCGTCGTCCTCTGGCGCCTTGTCGGAGTCCTTTTTTTTTATTGTGTGCGTGGACACCGTCATTAAAGTGACACCCACCGATGATGACCAACATGTAGAATATCTTCTTAAAGTGGGTCGTTTTAAGGAAGCCTACAGCTATGCTCGAACCCACTCGCTCCGTCAGCATAAAGCCGTGGGTATCGGCTATCACCTTTTACAGCATCTGTTTGCGGAGAAAAAGTATGACGAGGTGATGGCATCCCTTGCAGAAGTTGTGAAGGATGACTATTTGGAGTGGGAGCGGTGGATTTGTCAGTTCGACCAAGACGGAATGTCGGACATGCTGGTGGATGTACTCCCCATTTACAGTGGCAACAACACTGAGAACAATGGTGACACGAAAAATACTCCATTAAAAAACTCCAGGATCAAAGAGGAGTATTACGAACTTGTGCTCCTTAGGTGTCTAGAAAAGAACGTATTCTGTTTTCAGAGAGCTGTGCATAAATTCAAGGGTATGTTTCGACCTGACGTTGTGTGCCGCGCCGCTGAGCTGCGGTATAATAATTGGAACACGCAAGGAAGCTTGGACGTTGATGCCCGCGAACAAAGTAAGGCTCTTGGAGATACATACGGGTTCCTGCTACAACTCAGCGGTGACTACGATAAGGCACTTCATGTTTTGTTAAAGGTAGAAAACAGTGATGAGATCTTCAAACTTATACAACAAGAGAGGCTTTATGCGAAGGCCATGGAGGTGTTGCCTTTGCTGTTTGCTAGGAATGAGGATGGCACCATTCAGCTTCTTCTGGAACATGTTCACTCTACTGACGCTGCCGTGGACGACGGAGCCGTTACTGCAGCGTTGCAGTCGGGGTTGTGCTTCTCGCCGGCGGCCGTCGTGCAACGGTTGGAGCGGACACAGCGCCGGTACCTGTGGCTCTACTTGAAAGCGTTGCAGGCTCGAGACAAGGCGGTATACGCTGCACTGTCGGAGACGCACGCACAGCTTTTTGCGACGCTCTTTATTGAGAACAATCCATCTGGGCTGCTCGCTTTCTTGCGTGAGAATTCAGCGCACCTTCCGAAGCTGAGGGAGATATGTGCGCTGTGCAAAAAGCACCAGCTGCTGGAGGAGATGGTTTTCCTGCTCGCAAGGATGGGGAAG